AACAAGATGCTTAGTCACTTCCTAGTTCGAATTAAACTGGGCTAACCCGTCCCTTCAAGATGTAGGATGTCGTGATGATGATCGGCTCTTGATCCAAGGAACTTCATCTACCTTCCCCTCCTCCGGATCAAACCTAATTACATCTCATATTATCCAGGGGTTATTCTTAGGAGTTTAGAGTTTCCCTATAATAATAATAATAATAATAATAATAATAATAATAATAATAATAATAATAGGCTACACCCTGCCTAATGAATAATATTAAGAAAAAGAATTGTAGGAGCAGGCTGTCCCCACCAACGGCACCATCTTCCCCACCGACGGCACCATCATCCTCACCATAAGACTCACATCAACTTGTAAAAGCTTTTCAACTCATCTCGTAGAAAGACTTTTGGGTGAGAAAAGTTAAGAGGATGATTACACACGACTGGTTTCAACGATGAAGTATGGTGATGGCATCAATCCCTCAGATCCCTTAGTGGAAGTGACTGTTTGGGGAAATGAGACCAATTTTACACTGATTAATCGATTAAAAACCAATCAGGAAGTCCGTCTGTTTTAAGCTTATGCAAATGTGTGGCTGAGGAAGATACTGTATATTGCAACTTGTATCAGTGTAGTTTAAAATTAAGGAATATTCAACCAGTTCAAAGGAACGTTATGTGGGGATCTCAGGGTCAACTAGCCGTACACTGAACACGTTAAAGCCAACAAATGTTCAGCTCTGGAGTGGAGTTAAAGGTATGTAATAGTTGACTTACATGGATCACTTCCTGGGAAAGAATAAGAGGAGACCACCGGAAATAAACCACACTGGCTATTTTGAGTTATCACAGGTTAATAATCTAAAGAAAACCTTGTACTCGCCTTAAAAACATAGACTAATGAAAAACAGATAAATATTAAGTTAACAATGTTTCCCAGTGAGATACGCAAGCATGAATATAAACACTTGCTTAGCTATAGCAAGAAACGAATGTTACCTGCTGCTTTGTACGGAACACAATGATATATTCACAGCAGACTGATGTTACCTGCTGCTTTATACTTAACACAATGATATATTCACAGCTTACTCTAATCTCAATTCTATATAGGATTATATTATACACGTAGGTTAGAGTGAAGCTGCCCTACAAAGGGAGAAGGGGAGGGTGCCCTCAAGTTGGGCACGAGCTAACAATGGGCTGACAACCGGTATAATAAGATACCCATAACGTCATGAAAAAGATACGCATGCAAACAGCTTATTTTAATAGGAAGAGTTCTTAGTGCAAAGAATTGGAGCTGTCTTCTTTTTCTTAATCATGCCTGATTATCCTACGATGATACTACTATAATAATAATAGTGAGAGACAAGATACACTGCGGCCGTGAAGGTGACTGGATAGATATGACAATAACACTATTGTAAGTGACAGCGAAACAGACAAATGTTTTTTAACACTGACGTCTCTAAACATTTTATATATCTATGTACTCACCTATTTGTAGTTGCAGGAGTTGAGTCTCACCTCCTGGTCCAGCCTCTCCGCTGGTCGCTACAGACCTCCTCTGGCTGCGTGCGCCCTGTCATATCTATTCTTAAAACTATGGATCCCGCCTCTACCACCTCACCAAGTCGTTCCGCTTCCTGACCACTCTAAGGCTGAAGAAGTATTTCTTAACATCCATATGCTCTTGAGCTACCTAACGTCAACACTGGACATTAGTCAATGAAACAAAAATCATAGACGGTGTATTTAAACGTGAGTTATATGATTTGCAAAGGACCAGAATCATTTGGATATTAAATGCTTTTAACATGAAATTTATCATTATTATCTATCTCAATCTGCAACTATCGTTACCAATTTGATAGCTATCCATAATTCGTCCGAAGTCATAGGTTATAAAAAAAAATTGGCAAAAGGGTAAATGTCCCCGCTATTTATACTGAAAAAGTGTTGCCACATTCTTAAGCCTATAGGCCGCTCAAACTTCACCACCTCGTGAGTTTAAGGACTTTGGAATCCATAATTTTTGAGATGCTCACAATCACCGGATATTTATGATATTAATGTGAAGCAGTAAACCCTTGTGGGTCAACGAAGGGGGTGTCAGAGGCTCGATCCACTATTCCCTAGGCGCTGTATGTCCCCCAATTAATATTAATAATTATACATGTACAGCCACTGATGAACACGAAGTTACAGTAGCTGGTGAAAATTGTTAATGCAGGTGCTGGATCAACCAGGCTGTGATAGATATATGGGTCTGCGGGCCACCAGTAGCAACAGCCTAGTTGACCAGGCTACCACCAGACGAGCCTAGCCCATGGCCGGGCTCCGGGAGTAGAAAAGCTCACGCAACTCATCAATGATATATGAAAGGTAGGAAATCAGCGAAAAACCTCGTGTCCCACCCTCACTTAAACATCTGAAACATGAAGAAAAAACGCCATGACTGGAATAATTCACAACTTGCCCACAAACTGTACGTAAATGTAACGTAGCCATTATTAGTAAATGTGGCTTATTTTCACCCTATTTGTTTTGGTTAAAGATGTGAGCTTAAAGGGCACGTAAGTGCCCCGGTTATCACTTAACAAATTTTTGAGGACAACTTATTATAGTGGAAAAAATGACCATGTTATTAAAACGGGGGAACAGTACAGGCCATGTGGAAAGAACATCACAAACATATAAATAATTAGGTGGAAAGCCAGGCAAAGTAGTGAAAAAATCACATGGTACAATCCTAAACCCTAGTAGGTCTTTTAAATTGGATCGTGGTTCCTGAATTAGGATTAACCCCCATGGCGGAAATCCTACGGTTAGATGCTCCCCTTGATAAATAATAATGTGGGTCATTATATGGCTAAGACCCGCGTCAGGAAACACTCCTGACAACCTTCACCTAACCTAGCCAAGAATATTTTATACATGGCTTCACCCACTCAGGTAATGAGTCCCCGGTGACTGAAGCCATCTAAAAATAAAGGTACTCTGCTATAAGTATCTTTCTCCTATGTTAGGTACAAGGACACACGTTTCGCTCTCCAGAAGCTCTGACAAAAACTCCTGGAGAGCGAAACGTTGCCATAATGAAATACCACATTAGTGCATGTGTTTTTACCTAACATATTGTCGATAATTCTACCCACAACAGTTGACTTAGAGCCACTATTAAACAATATTTAGACCCACTAACACGGGACTGCGTCCAAATCTACAAATTTTATTCTTGATTTTATACCAAAAAATACCACAGTGCTCCCTACAGGGGCAGGAGACCTGTTAGAGTGCACAAATACCCCACTGAATAGCAAAGATGCAATAAGTGTGTATATAACTCCATAAATAACGAAGGCTCGAGAGTTTTTAATATCCTACCGTCATATATAAGGGAAAATTACCATAAACCCCTTATGTACATACCAGAATTTATTATGCATTAATACCTCGGTTATTATTATTACATTCATGGGAAGCGCTAAATCTGTAGGGGTCTCAGAGCGCCTAAGGGGCGCTGAAAAGCATTCAAGACACGATTCAAGGAATTGGAGCACAGGTCTCAATTCCTCGGATCAAAAGCCCCCCTCACCAGCATCACGGAACCTCCCTTGAGAGGAATACCCAGGATAGATTAAAAAAAATGGATAAATGTGGGAGAAATTGTGGTAGGACTATTATCCAGTAGACCTATCCATTTTAAGTTTATTTAGGTACAGGTACACATAAATACAGTTACACAAACTATCATACACAGTAACATGCGTGAAAATTACCTACCAGGATAACCCAGAAAAAAGTCAGTGAGTTTTTCCACTGTGGTAGAGCAGCACCATACAAATGCCACACTGCCCACTAGTGAAGGAAAAGTTCCTTCAAGAATAACCATATATTAGGACAACGTTTCACTCTATAGAGGGAAACGTTGTTCTTATAAAAGCTTCTTCAACATGTCTTTTTCTCAGTTGTTGTGCTCCTCTAATTTTTCTCGAGTTTGGAGCTTTTACAATGTAAAGTCAATGTTATGCTCTTTCTTATGTTTTAAATCTGACAGAAGTGTTGTAAATACTAGCACCTTAAGAAAAACAATGAACTAAATAAGGTCTATTGATCCATGACAACTCCGATTATAGTCTCATTCTCACTCATGTATCTGTACTATATTTGTACCTTGAAGGAAATGCTTTATATTAAAAAGCATTTCCTTCAAGGGACGTGTCTTGATGCCGGTGAAGGGCTCTTGATTCGATTTATCGGAGCTGCCCTCTCTTTTTGTTTCCCTTGGATCAAATCTAATTGCCTCCCACTGAACACTTGTCAATACTGATCAATAACCTACATGTTGTTATTGATCAACTTGAGATACAGGATTTATACAAGATTTATACAGGATACAGGATTTATCCCTCATATCCATGCTATCCAGTGAAAAAGTCTATCAAGATCAATAACATTCGTGTCATTATTATAGTCATGGAGGAAGCGTTAAACCCGTACCATTCATTATTCATAGCATTAATGTAACAGGTTCTGGTAGTGTAGTAACAAAAGTCGGGTAATTGGAGGAAGGAAGGGTGTGTATCTAAGTCTTGATGCACCAACTACTCCCATATCATCTTGATAAACCCAGGTATTTCGGGATTATATATATCTACGTTGATATATAAATGGTACTCAGGCATAAGGGTGTCTTTAACAAGTTTTACCCTGGCATGATACACTGCTACTGTCTCGGTACTTGACAAAACAAGGGTGTATTGAGGCTTGGCTGCCTGTGTAGCTTTCGTAACCATCCTCTGAGATATACCACATTAACAGGTGTCATTTAGGCTAGGACACAGCCTAAAATGTTTCCCAGGATAAGATCCAAAGGGAAAATCGGGCTGGGTTAGGGAGGTCTCTTGTCCCCTCAAAAATCGATGAGGCTCTGAACCTTCCCTCCCTTACATTCCCTCTCCACCAACGTGAAGTTCCACCTAAATAAGAACAGGTTCCGCTTACCGTTGGCCCCGAAGATCCGCTCCATGGTAGAGATGTATGCAATCCTCGTCACTAGTTATTTCCCACTAACATGGTACAATACCATTCACTAGTAATGAGCGCCGCTAGCACCCACCCTCTCACACTGTCTGGCCATCACTGAACTTTGTTAGTGTAGCTCCAGCCTCAATGTTTGCTTCACGGGTGCCACCTACTCTTATCCTCCCACATTTCTCCTTCACCTTACGTATTATTTTACTCCTGAAATCTCAATATACTTGTGTGTGGCGTCCTTAATCAGTGGCAATAGTGATTATTTGCCTGATGGTGTGTGTGAGAGAGAGACAGGATGAGATGTGGGATGAGTTACCAGCTCTAACGTTCATGACCCCCGAGAATGGGTAGAAAGGTGACGTCAGAAACGTTAAGTACGTCGTCAAATTCTTATGATGCGTCATCGTAAATGTTGTAAGCTTTTTAAAGCTGATCTCTGAGTAAGCTCGTGAGGGTCTTCCTCTGTACCTAATGTTTGCCCAGCTCTTTATTTAACTATGCTGCATAAATATGTATCTTTGCAAGAGAAGTATCTTTTACGCTGGTGAAAGACTCTTGATGTGGGGGAACTGAAGCTACCTTTCCCTTGGATGAAACATAATTACCGTCCTTCCCACAGGTGCTATATGAGCCATACGGGTTGATTGCTTCTATGTAATCAACCCTCACGTCGACAAAGACATTTCACAGAAAGAACATCACTGAGGTCAAGGTGGATGCATCCTCAGAGACGTCTTCTATGGGATCCAGAATAATGTATCCCCCAGAGAAGACATCAAACACTACCAGAGTGGTGATCCACGTTCACCATGAAGCCTTGGAAACTAAACAATAAACTGTTTGTTGATATGCTGTGTCTCTGCGATCTGGTTATTGATTTGCCAAGTTGACCTGTGTCTTAAGAGAAAGATAATGTTACAGAGTGTCTGTTTGCACGTAATGGGTATCCCCTAAGAAATGTTGCCTTTACATGGTCACTTGGAGGTATCCTTTCCAGTGAAATTCCTGGACCTCGCTGCTTGAGAAAGCACATGACACTTCTGACGAGGAATTCGTTCAGACACCTAACTTGAGCCTCACTGTCTGTTTGAAAATTGCTACTTTTAGTAACCTGCTACCTACTCCACATATTTGCAACATCTGCAACATTGTTTTCCTATCAACCCTATTATATCCCTTTTCTAAATGCATAAATACGACAAACGATTCGTTATCCTTATCTAAGTATTCTTCACTTAACTGCTTCAGTATAAACATTTTATTTGCACATCCCAACCCTTCTAAGTCCTCTTTATTCCTTTGCATTCTCACTTTTTGTCATGCTCCTGACTCTCAGTAATGCGGCACACTTATTATCCACAACACAGTTAACAAGTTATAATTCTTAATCGCTTTTATAATTATTCACTTCAACAGAGGATCCACTCCTTTGGTACCTTTCTTTCATGCATATATATTGAACAAACACACCAACCATTCTAAAATCGTATGCTCTCCTGCTATTTGCATCTGAATCTTAATCAAGTTTGTTCCAGCCGCTTTATCCTCTTTCATTATACCCATTGATACTCACTGCTTCACACACTTTCTCCACACTCACCTCTGGCAACTTTATTACTGCAACATCTTATCCCTCAGCTATCAAAACTCTGAAGCCCAGTCCCTGAACCCATTATGTACCTCTGTAATCTTTTGACTACCGCCCACAGGATGGGTATGGGCTGCATAATAAACATTAAACTAACTAAAACTCCCTACCTAATACAAGAAATCACGGCCTCCGAAAGGGAGGTCATGGAAGATCAACTCTGAACAGTTCCTCAAAGTATTTCCTCTATCTTTCCAGTACCTAAATCTTCTCATGTGACATCTCTCTTTTTCAGCTGACAACTCCATTTACTCTCCAGGCGTTCTCAGTTTCTATCTCCAAAGCTGTTTCTTATTTTCAGCAAAATTTACTAACAAAGACACACCCATTCGCCTTATTATTCTACCAAGTATACCTCTTCGCACCCATAACCACCCTAGTATAACCACAAACCTCTGTTGTGCACTCTAACTTGTTGCACCTCATTAAATGTAATCTCCCTAGTCCGCCTTTCTTCCATAAATTGTTTATATCGTCCATTAGCTGCCATCTTCTTTAGTTCATTCACTGTCACTTCTATCTTACCCACTGACACCATTCGCTTTACATTCCATATGCCTCGTTCTATTTCTGTAGCTACCACTAAAGACTGATCTGACATATCAGTCACTCTAAAAATATGCACATTCCGAAGTTTATCCATCAATCTGCACTTCGTCAAACCTTGCATACTGTTTAAACTCTTTTTCTTGAAATAGGCATTATCTCTTACTAAGCCTCTTTACATACATAATTCAATTACAGGCTCCCCATTATCACTTACCCCTGACACACCAATCTTACCTACTGTGCCCTCTACAACAGTCTGTCCCATTTCATCATTTAGGTCACAGAGGTCACTCTCGTATTTGGATCAAAAACTTCCCTAAACAATCGCCAAACCCAGGAAAGCCCAATGCCAAACTATTTTCCTATTTGTTGTGAATGTTTAACATGTTTTGAGAAGACATTTCTAAACAACCTTCATTTAAAAATTTTTGTTCATAAATGTAAAACTTTTTTTTTTTGCAAACAATACTTCAGAATACAGCAGTACTGTACATTATAGTAATACAAGACATGGGATCATATCTCAGAAAAATATCGAACATTGTATGAAATGTAAACTGAACAAAATAACATTGTATAAGAAAATTCCTTAAGTGGATTTGCCTTTTAGCTCTGATAAGAAGTAAATCAGGCGCCCCGTGAGAGCATATGCCAACTATCAGGTGTATCCAGATCCTATTGATTTACCATCTGTGTTGCTTATGGCCATGATTTTCATAGTGTGGAGCCATAGTCTCATCAATGGTGATATTGCTCGTCATCAAATATTTGACTTCTTACCAAATAATTTATTTAGGTCAAAGTAAGGCCTTAGTTTTCCAAATTTCTCAGTAACATTTAGTTCATGATTTGTTTTGTAAAGCTACAGGAAGCTGAATTATTTATGAATCGAGCAGAGATTCAAAGCACTGGATGTGTGTATCCAGTGTTTCACTGCAGTCTGGTGTCTGTGACACTACTACTGACACTGAACGACTGACAGAGTCATTGTTGGCCCTCCAGTTTCTTACTTTTTTATAACTCGCACTCACCTCACACATTGAGTGTCCGTGGTTCAGTCCCCGGCATGGGTGGATATGTTGGGCATGTTTCCTTACACTTACTGTCCCTGTTCACTTAGCAATAAGTAGGTACCGGGATGTCAGTCGACTGGTGTGGGTGGCAACCTGGGGGATAAGAGTGAAGGTTCCCAGTATAAATAAGACAGTCCTCGATGACGCACTGACTTCGGGTTATCCTGGATGACTAACACTCCAGGTTAAAAATCCAACCAAATCTTATCTTATCTTATCTTACCCTTTTGTAAGTGATCCACATGATCACTTAGTAAGTGCTTCATCTTCTCCGTTTACAAGCATTTCATATTCTGTCAGCAGTTAGTCTGACGTGAGGTAACTCAGATTTCCTTTCTTTTCCTCGTCAGAGTCTTCAGCAGTTTTCTGGCCATCCGCTGGTAAGAATCGAATGATTTCTTGTATATGACCACCTCTTATAATATTTTGCTCGTCTACCATCATCGGAGGCTTCAAGTATAAAAGTAACCTCATGGAGAGTCAAACTGGAATAAATAAACAATAATATGCAACCAGCAGGAGAAGAGCTGCCACCACGACGGTATTCCTAACATCACCTGGAGGTGACAGGCTTTCATTTTATTATTAAAAACATATTACCTCATATTGCTTGGGTATTTGCAAGAAGCATTTTATTCCTCATTTATATCATAACACTATACACAAAGCAACTTACTTCCTTACTCACAGTTTTGTGGGAAGCCGAAGTTCCTGGGGGAACTCAAAGAATATCAAAAAGCTGTGCACCACATGCACTGGGATGCAGTGAGGAAAGTAAACAAAGATTAGATTTTGCCACCGAAGTGGCTAGTTTATTACACCCCATCTCCATCCTGTGGACGGTAGCGCAAGAGCATATGGATACACCAAAGGCCCAGGAACTAGGCCCAAAAGGGGTTAACAGGTGTACATATGGGTTCATATCTACATATCTACAGTTCACTTATCTGTTACAAGCAAATTTAGGAAATTTGCTTAGTGTATCTGGTATATCTTGACATGTCACATAGGTTATTATACTGTCTGTCTCTGTATTCCTCAATAAGTGGATAACTAAGCACATAGTGTTCAAGACAGTGACCATATGCCAGATCACATAATTTGCATTTAGTTTGATCATCATCTGTGTGTCTCCCAAACTGCCAGAAGTACTTGTAACCAAGCCTAAGCCTGGTCACTACAACATCAGTCGGTACTTGTAACCAAGCCTAAGCCTGGCCACTACAACATCAGTCAGTACTTGTAACCAAGCCTAAGCCTGGCCACTACAACATCAGTCAGTACTTGTAACCAAGCCTAAGCCTGGCCACTACAACATCAGTCAGTACTTGTAACCAAGCCTAAGCCTGGCCACTACAACATCAGTCAGTACTTGTAACCAAGCCTAAGCAAGGCCACTACAACATCAGTCAGTACTTGTAACCAAGCCTAAGCCAGGCCATTACAACATTAGTCAGTCTATTCACATTGCAAGTTGCTCCATATACATACTTATCTACGTTCATGTTATTGTGGGTTATAGATCTACTCAGGCTTCTAACTGCATTACTATAACAATCATTTTCATTATTTACTTCTCTCCTAATATTATTCCTAATGCTAGACACAGATATACCAAAGTTATATTCTACATTCTCCTTCTGGGTACTCTTCTTGGCTAACATATCAACTTTATCATGAAGGAGTAATCCAATGTGTGATGGGATCCATAGCAATTGTACATTAATTCCTTTGTCCCTGATTTTTGAGTATCTGTACCTGGCTTCTCCAATGAGCATGTTGTTGGAGTCATTATATGAGTCAAAAGCCTTCAATGATGACATAGAATCAGTAATGAT